TTGTCATTTATGGGAAACGGGTATTTAGATTCTTCGTCACTGAGGAATTTCCGGCCGTCAACTACTCGAACGCCTTCAATGATTTGTAGGTGATCTATTACGTCGGTGAGAGAAAGTTGATCAAACGCACTGGCGGTTGGACTTTCCAAGTCGAGGCGCTCACTGAACTTTGTAAATGATGTTGGTGAAGAGAGAGATGAGGAGGAGGACGAGTAGTACGAGGAGCAAGAATCAGTACTTGGAGTGGATGTGTGGGATATCATTTTTTTCTCTGTAATATTTGGGATTATTATTTTTTTGCGCTATGCTCTAGTTAGATAGAATTATAAGTCAATAATTTAGAAGCAGTTGAATTTTTCTATTTCGGTTAGCTATTTCTCAGGTCGTTTCATGTAAACGTATTAAACGATCTTTATATATCCTTCCTTCAATGAAAGCTATTTTTGGAATAGACATAAAATGTTCTTTCTTCCTGAACTCTCGCCCAATCCCATTCTTTTATCCGAGCATTTTCACTTATAATGTGTATAACCTAAAAATCTTCACGCCATGTCCTTGTTAAGCATTTACTCTTAGTGCTCGTGTCTCACATATGACAGCATGTATCCATATATTTAATCCATATATATAATGTACCCTAAATTGTTTGATCATTTCTTTGTTTTGTCTAGACAACGACAATCTTTAATCGTCCTCATCGGTTCACATCCAATAATGGAATACAGTGATTTATCGGATGCTGTAGCACACAAGGTTTTCTTTATATGCGCACTGCGGAATTACCTCATGACAGATCGTCAATCCAGTGTTTTCGGCATCTCCTCAATTCCATAATCAGTATTTTTATGGCGTAAAGGTAAATTTGTCATGCATTCACGAGCAACATTACACGTTACCAAGGTTCAAACAAGTTCTTCCAATAAAATTGATCGTCACAACTATCCATGAAATTCAGATCCTAATGACATAGTAAAGACAATCGTCCTCCGAGCAACTACTATATGTAGGAAATTATCTCCACAAAATTCTGATGCAGAAGATCACAAGACGCAACTTAAAATAAAAAAATTTTTTTTTGGTAAAGGAAGATCCACCTTTCCCCAACGACACAGTTGTAACAATGGATTATTAATGAAATTTCAATCAGTTTCCATTTTTTCTTTGGAAATTTTTTTATCCCCGAAAACGCTTACCAAGCAAATTCTGATAAGCATTATAAAGTGAAAGAAAAAACCTCCGACGTTAACTAACTCCGTGAGATCTGATTTATGGCATATTACTAATTGTTAAAAAAGTTAACCTTTTACCCATCTAGGATTGGATGATCGTGTTTATTTAAACATAATTTGTAAATTTGTAAAAATCATTCTTTTATCACATTATTATTATTTTATCTTTACATACAGTACAAACAAAAATATCGCAAGCATTCATCGCAAAGTTAACTCCACGTAAAAAAAAGTATAACACTGACTTTTGGATTGTCCGATGAGATCGTCGATGTTTAAAATTTTTCATTAGACGACATTTATGGAAAACATATGTCGTATTTTGAAAGTTTAATTAATTAATAAATCATCAAAAACCAACAATAAAATTGAATTAAAGTTGTTTTTTTTATTATACTATAAATGAACAAATTATTTTTTTCTCATTACGATTAAATGAGGCGCATTTTTTCAATTATTAAACGGGAAATATCCGAAAGATAGCATGTTTTCTATGTTTTTTTTCGCAGACTAATATACCAAAATATTATTCATTCTATTCACTTGATCACGTGGGTAAATGGAAAAGTAATACTTTTTGGAACCAGAGATCCGGATAACGACGCTAAAAATCTAGCTGAGATTGAAAAGGTGACCTTAATCCCTATATACTCATTAAGATATAGTCTTTATGATTCTAAGTATCAATCATACTTACGTACATACGTCAAAATCGCGTGATTAAATTACCAGAGTATGATTAAATACATTGTGAATAGACATTTGCTTCCTGGAGAGCATAATTGCCACGCTGGAAGTCAAATATACTCAAGGTCATAGTGATATTTACATATATAAATCACAAGGACATGGATAGTGTTATTATTCCCTTTCAATTCGAAGAAATCATCGACCTTGAAGAAGACAGAATAGTCACTAGCGCCAACACTACTGACATTACGCCGTTCACGTTTTTTACTACTTCCGGCGATTCATTGGCCAAAAGTGATCGAAGCGACTTCGAAAA